AATTAATTAATCGGTAAATCTCATTTTTCTGATTCTCTTTTGTGTGTGACCCATTAGATTCCCGATCACGATGCCTAATGATGTGAAATATTATTTTGATCTAATCAAAATTGATAAATTAAAATACCTCTTTTAATTTATCATCAATTCACATATGTCATCTCAAATTGACATCTAGCAATGTGTTAGGACAATACATGTGATGAAAAATGTTACGCGGTATGACAAAACCAAACTTGTGAACGTTTACCGTGAAACTATAATCCTTTCGTCAATATGATCCGATCAATGCTGAGATATTGATAGGTGTCAATCTCAATTATCGTTCATATCTTTTATCCCACTGCTAAGTCAATGTAAGTCGAAAACTCATTTTCGACTTATGAGTTGTGGAACTGGTTATTAAAGTAATAGTTGAATTGACCTATTTTACATCTAGTATTAGAGAATGATAGATTCTCACTGCTTAGTAGATAACTAGTAAGTGTTGAAAGTATACTAAGAACTGTATGGACTTATTACCTATATTAGCGACCCTTGACAAAACAACATCCAACATCACCAAAGTATAATTGTCCTCATATAAGGCATTATGATGACCTCAAATCAAATGATCAATTCTACTATCGAACGTTAGAGATTAACCACTAACACTCAAATAGTTATCCATGTGGAATCTCCCAGTGAGCCTCCAATGTTTCGTTCTATAACAAAACATCTACGTATTCATTCAAATTTCACCACACTTTAACTTGTGAGATCAACTACTTACTTCACAAGTAAAAAATGCCACACGTGATGGTCTATCCGTAATAACGATATATGTATCGCGTTATTACATACGACCACAGACGATTTAAGATTCAGTCATATGTAATTTGTATCTCACAATCACAACTCATTATGATTAACAAATCATTAAGATTTAAATCTGCGGATTCTATTATTTAATCTATTAGAATATTAATTTAATTAAATAATAGATATTGCTATAAATATGCATCGATTATATATATTAGAAGTGTTTATGTCCAAAATTGATTGGATTTAGGGCACAACACTTACACAAGGAACTCACCATATCATATTCTATCATAGAGAACACACCTAGCTACAGCAAGAGGGCAAATAAACATCAAGGATTGAAGATTCAAAGCACGGGATTCAAGATCAAGAACATGAGATTGATTTTCTATCAAACTTCTTGTATTCTTCTACTTTTAGAGTGATGTATCTTAAATTATTTTGTGTAATTTAGATAAAAGTATGATAGACTAAATTATTCCTTGTATTGGATAAAGATGAAACAATTGGTCAACTATTTTAATTCAAAGACTAGTATTTTTAGTATATTTATGAGTTTTTATTAATCTTGCAAGAATCTTTCGTTATTTTATTGCTTGATCACCAATCAGATAACTAGTTACTTGTTGTAGCATTGAAAGGTTTACATTAAGTTAGAACATTGAAAGGAACACACGGCCCATAAATGTTAGGAATATCATGTATGTCGTGTACAATCATCTATATAATCGTGCGCTTAATGCATTACTTTGTATATGAATTCGGAATAAGAATATGATCAAGTCGTGCTTAGGATATTTTTAATTTACCTTCAAAGAGATAGTTAGATAACAATGGATTATCAATTGTCATCAACACATAAATCACACTAAATTACAATGGTCAAGAATTAAAAATAGAAAAACAATAGGTGGAATCAGAAGTCCAATACATTCATCTCATTTATTAATTCAAACCAAAGCATTTACATAATCCATAGTTTCGTCTCAATCTTCATGAATGTATTCAAAATCGTTACACGACATGATGTATCTTTTACAATTTAAATTCAAATTTACAAAAGTTTATTTAGAAGTGCAAAGGCAAATCACATTTGATTTAACCAGTTTTTATCATGTCAAACCAACCCAAACTGATCTCTCTTTTTTTCTTTTTCTCTTGAAAACACTAATAATTAAAATAGAAAAACTAACAAAGAAATCTAATTGCTATTTTGGAATGTTACTTGGCAAAGTATAACTGCATTTTGCGTGTTTCAGAGAGAGAGAGACAAGATGAGAACCATGAAGTTCATCCAAAATTATTGTCAAGGAACCAAAGATAATGGAGAAATTAAAGGAAGACCGCAATAAGAAAACCTCCCTCGGTGAACGCTGATTGCTGGAAATGCCCAAAAATTCTAACCACTTCTCTTATGTATAAGAATGTTCCCAACCCTTTTTAACACTAGAAATATCACTTGTTAGAGATAGGAAAATTTCAAAAATGGCTAGGCTAAATCTCTTATTTTTTACACTAATATCATGCCTTTCAACACAGTCAATGGTCCATTCTGAGGACCCTTATTTGTTTTTCACATGGAACATTACTTATGGCAATCTCTCTCCCTTGGGAATACCTAAACCAGTCATTCTCATTAATGGTCAATTTCCGGGGCCAGAAATCAACTGCACTTCAAACAATAACATTGTTATCAATGTGTTTAATCACCTCGATGCCATTTCTTTTCACCTGGAATGGGATTCAGCAGAGGAAGAATTCTTGGCAAGAAGGGACTCCGGGCACGACTTGTCCAATTCCACCCGGTGCAAATTTTACGTACCATTTCCAGGTCAAAGATCAGATAGGTAGCTACTTTTACTACCCCACCACCTCGATGCACCGTGGTGCAGGTGGCTATGGAATGCTCAAGGTCCACAGTCGGGATCTTATCCCTGTGCCATTCGATAGACCAGAGGCTGAATACGCAGTTTTAGCGGGTGATTGGTACAGAAAGGACCATGCTACCTTAAAGAGGTTGTTAGACAGCGGGAGGACTCTTGGTAGGCCGGACGGTGTTATCATCAATGGTAAGCAAGGGAAGGGGGATGGAACAGATACGCCTATGTTCACTATGATCCCTGGAAAGACTTACAGATAGAGAGTCTGTAATGTCGGGATGAAAAACTCCATCAACGTCAGAATTCAAGGCCACCCATTGAAACTGGTAGAGATTGAGGGGTCCCACACTGTTCAGAATGTGTATGATTCCCTTGATGTGCATTTGGGGCAGTGCTATTCATTCCTGGTGACTGCTAATCAAAAACCAAAGGACTATTACTTTGTGGTTTCTACACGGTTCACCAAAAACGTCCTCAGCACCACTGCCACCATCCGATATGAAGGTGGCAATGGCCCTGCCTCTTCTGCGTTGCCCGAGGCACCGGTCGGGTGGGCCTGGTCCCTCAATCAGTTCCGTTCCTTCCGCTGGAACCTGACAGCAAGTGCAGCCAGGCCTAATCCTCAGGGCTCTTACCACTATGGCCGGATTAACATTACGCGCACAATCAAGTTGGTCAATTCAATTGGCACCGCTGATGGCAAGCTTCGATATGCTGTCAATGGCGTATCGCACAAAGATCCAGAAACTCCATTAAAGCTGGCTGAATTCTTTGGGGTTGCAGAAAAAGTGTTCATATATGACACTACTGGGGATGAACCACCTGCAAAAACAAGTGATAAGATCACAGTTGCACCCATTGTGCTCAACGCCACTTTCCGAAACTTCGTTGAGATCATATTCGAGAATCATGAGAAGAGTGTCCAATCATGGCATTTGGCTGGATATTCCTTCTTCGCTGTAGCGTAAGCAAATTTCATTACAGCATTCAATTTCTTCAGATTAACCTCATCATATAGCATTTCTAAGTAGAAATTAATGTGAACATTTGCTACTACAGAGCACTAACTCCTGAAAACATGAGGCAATCTAAGGGCTCTTACATTAAAATTTCAAAATGAAAGAATTTTCTTTTTCTTCCCATATAGTTTCACATATGATCCTACACGAGCCATGTTTGATATGCAAAACTAGATAAGACTAAACAATACAATGACATGAATTAAGTTCCTTTTTCTTCATTAGTACTTCCAGTGTTGTCCAATCCACCTTATCACGTGCACACACATGAACATAAACACTAACGCAATGCATGGATGCAACAGGATTGAACCAGGCAGATGGACACCAGATAAGAGGAAGAATTACAATCTTTTGGATGCAATAAGTAGGAACACAATCCATGTATATCAAAAGAGCTGGGCAGCCATTATGACTACACTAGACAATGCTGGAATGTGGAGCTTAAGATCACTGACTCTTGAAAGGCAGTATCTGGGGCAGCAGCTATACATCAGTGTACTCTCCCCAGAGCACTCTCTTCGTGATGAATACGACCTTCCTGACAATACTCCATTGTGCGGAATTGTCAAGGGTTTGCCTATGCCAAAACCCTACACTACATGATTCAGCTTTTGAAGTAGCGCAAAGTACTTGCAGACTTAAAGTGAAAGCATTAACGGAGGGCATATTCATGCCTGTTGGAGAAGGAAAGAGCGATTTAGCCACCTAACTTAAAAGAGAGAGAAAAAGAGAAGGAAGCAGAGAAGAAGATTATCTGCCAATGAGATTTTGCACAGCCACGGTTTTCGGTTAACAGTAGATTTTGTGTTTTTAGTTTTTCAAGTATTATGTAATTTATTTTCAAGTCCATTGTATCAAAACAAATACAAATGGTTTCAATGTGTAGCGTGTGTGGAATATATATGCTCCTATATCGTCTTAGTTGTACTAGTAAATGTAGTTGATGGAACATAAGAATAATATGTGATTTACGATATAAGGTACAATAAGCATATGCATGATAAAACAATTCGTTAACTTCAGATGGATTGTGAGAGAAAACAATCGACTTCAACTCAGAACCCGGTGAAAATTGTGGTATAACATATTTCCCACATTTTTTAAATTGTGGTTTAAGTTATCTTGGAAATACTTGGTCAGCATATTCGTCAAGTGAATAGGCTAACTCGAATTCTAATATATTATTCGACTTGGGGTTGTGTTACTTCCCAGTGAACAAGCTATCATGAACCTAACACCTCTACTCAATTGAGCGGAGTAACCTTGTTCACTATATTTCCTAAATGAGCAAACAATACACGACCCTCAGTACCTCTCTACTAAACTAGGAGTCACCTTCGTTAGCTCATATTCCAAGTGAATAAGCTTACTCCTCTTCAAGACCATAAATCTCAACTTCAGTACGTAATCTAATTCAAGAAAGTTCACAGATGTGAAGAGCTATATAGTTTGACTAATTGAATGACACATTTCAACTAGATAAGCAAACATTCCAACTATCACAGTAGTTTATTAAAAACTTACAAACACCTGGAATATTTTCCCTTTCAAGCTGAATTTCAGATAAGTGAATTCTTTGTATTTACTGTTTAAATATCATTACAGGAATTATGGTACATTTGTATGCACGTTGTGGAAAGTGAGAACTCAACAGATATTGCATCTCAACTACCTTTTTCTTCTTAAAAACATAATGTTGCAGGATAAGCATATGGAAAGACCGTATCAGTTAACTAGGACTGGCAGAGGAAACTTCGTCGTTCTGACCTAAAACTGTTTTCACCTCTGGAATGTTCAGCAATGAACCTACTTGGACTGTTGGCTCCAAAGTTGGAATGATAGGAGGTCTTCTCCTTCTTGTAACTGTCATATTCAAACCCTTGGTTGTGTGAATTGTTGCTCCTGTAGTCATTTCAACCTGTAAAGCAGTTGTTATTCATTAGAGAACTGTCATCCTCAAGGTAAATGAATCCAGAACCCTGGATCTCAAGAGTTAAATTAGAACTTTGGAGCCTAAATCATTCGAAGTCTTTAGGTTCGATCAAACTAAGATAAAATACATAGAATACCCTTTTAATCATTGCAGAAACAAGAATGAGACGGGAAAAAATGAACCCCCACCTATAAGTGAGAGTGCATGTTGAAGACAAGATTTATATGATTTACATGGCCATCTCTAATAGACTGAAGTGACCACATACCATCTTGTTGTCCCAAAGGATAATTGTAGGTGTGATTGAAAAGTGTGTTTCACGCTCTTAATCATGCTTATAAACTTTATTTATATTTATAAAATGAGCGAATTTCTACTTAATTTAATGTGAATGTTGTCATCGTATGTAAAACCCGGACTTGGAAGTACTTGGAGCAGACTGACAGTTGCAGGGGTGAATGCAGTTTGGAAACCGCAGTCCACCCATTGTTGTTTGCCATGGTTAGAGTGCAATTTGAGACCACGGTTTATCAACATGGCATGGGCTTTGCTGCAACCCAACTGGAATTTTATGTTTATTATATACGTTTAATCAGTGGGCAATTTGGTCCTCTTGAAAGACAACATTCAAGGCGATTTGGGTACTACATAAAGACATATTTTAGTTCAAATTAAAAGGGAGATAATAGAGGATCAAAGGAGGACATGCAAGAGAACAGAGGACTTTGACAGATCTAATTAGACAACGAAGAATGGAAAGGAAAACAGGAACTGATTTGTACTAATGGAATGAAAAATTACAATTGAAAATGGAAATCATAAGAGGCCATTCGAGAGGGCCATACTCTCCTACAACTACTTTACTCACAGTATTCTTTTCCTCCCCAGACTGCTTGCCATTATTCTATTTATAACCCCCCCTGGTAACTAACTTCCCCTGCTCAACAGAATTTATTACCCTCTTCCGCCCTTTTGATCCTTCTAGAATAGGTGTATTTGATTGGGGGCCTATCAATTACCCCTCCCAATTTAGTCACCTCGTCCACAAGGTGGAAGGAAGGAAATTGTTGATTAATGAGATCGAAAGACTCCCAGGTTGCCTCCAAGGGTGATAACCCGACCCATTTAATCAGCACCTCCATCATGTCCTCATTGCCCAAGGGTGCAGTGCGCATTCCCAACACAGCTTCTGGTTCCACTTTTAACTCCCAATCGGCTCCCAAGTGTTGTGGTAAAGGGGAAACTAGATGGAATTTCCCCATAGCCTTTCGGAGTTGAGAAAAATGAAAAACAGGATGAATTTGGGATTTCGGGGGTAGTTTCAGTCTGTAATCCACTGGTCCCACCTTTGCTAGCACTTCAAAAGGCCCGTAGTACCTGGGGCGAGGTTCTCGTTAAAACGATGTGCCAATGATTTACGACGGTACGGTCGCATTTTTAGATAGACTAACTCCCCAGTGACAAACTCTACAGCCCTCCTATGTTGGTCAGCTACGGCTTTCATCTTTTGCTGAGCCCTTCGTAAGTGCATCTTCAGCTCCTCCAATACTTGGTCCCATTCCAGCAATTAATGATCCAGTGAAGACACTGTCGTGGGTCCCTTTTCAAAACGGATGAAAGGAGGTGGATCCCATCCATATAATACCTGGAATGGGGTTAATTGAGCAGACACATGGAATGAAGTGTTGTAAGAGAGTTCAACCCATGAGAGAAAACGAAACCACTCTTTAGGTCTACCTGAAGTGAAGCAACGCAGATATGTCTCAATACCCTTGTTTACTACCTCTGTTTGACTGTCTGTTTGTAGGTGATATGCCGAACTAAGCCCCAGTTTAGTGCCTTGCAATCGAAAAAGTTCGCTCCAAAATTTGCTAATAAATAACTTGTCACGATAAGAGATTATCGAGCGCGGCATACCATGCAATCGAACTATTTCCTTAATGAAAACTGCAGCCACAGACGGTGCTGAGAATGGGTGTTTAAGGCCCACAAAGTGGCCGTACTTACTCAGGTGATACACAACTACCAAGATTGAGTCAAAACCCTATGACCTCGGCAGTCCCAGTCCCTCAATAAAATCCATAGATATATCGTCCTAAACTTTCTCCGGCACAGGTAACGGTTGAAGCAACCCTATAGGTGTGAGAGTTGAATACTTATTTTGTTGACAGGTTGTACAAGCTGCTACATAAGCTCAGATGTCCTTTATACTCCGCCAATAGAATGTTTCGGCCACCCTCTTGTACGTTTTATGAAAGCCCCCGTGGCCCCCCTATTTTGCTATCGTGGTCCTCTTGCAATGCCAACAACACAAACGAAGAATCCTTGGGTAATGCGAGTTTATCCCGATATAACAGAGCACCTCGCACCAAAGCAAACCCGGGGTACGACGTCGGGTCCTTCCGTAATGCTGTGAGAATCTGGCTTAATTCTGGGTCCTCTTCCACTGCTTTCAACAATTCGTCCTGCTGTAGAACACACGGCATACTTAGTGTAGTGAGGGCTCTTGCTAACTCAATGCGGGATAAGGCATCAACTGCTTTATTTTCCAACCCCGGCTTGTATTCGATGTCAAAATCAAACCCTTGCAGCTTGGTCAACCACTTTTGATATTCTATATTCACCAGACGCCGCAAGAATTTAAGGCTCTTTTTATCAGACTATAAACCGCCTCCCAATTAAGTAGTGCCTCCACTTTTGCACGGCCACTACAATTGCCATCAACTCCCTCTCATAAATGGACTTGTTATGGGCTCGAGGTGGAAGAGCTTAGCTGAAATAAGCAATGGGTCTCTGATGTTGCATTAAGACTGCCCCCAAACCATGTCCGGATGCATCGGTTTCAATCACAAACGGTTTTGAAAAATCTAGAAGTCCTAACACTGGGACCGAAGCCATAGCCTCCTTTAAACGTGAAAAAGCAACCCCTGCCTCGTTAGTCCACCTGCAATTGTCTTTCTTTAGCTATTGCATTAGTGGCCACGCTATCTTCCCATAGGCTTCTACTAACCTCCTATAATACCCAATAAGACCAAAGAACCCTCGCAGCTTCTTAAGCAATCTTAGTCGTGGCCACACTATCATCGCAGCCACTTTGGATGTATCAGCAGCTACCCTTTTTTCTGAAATTATATGGCTGAGGTACTCCAGTTCTGACTTACTAAACAAGCATTTCTTTTTGTTGGCGAATAGATGGTTATCCACTAACCGTTGCAATACCCAACTCAAATGCTCCCGATGTTCCTCCACCGTTCTACTATAAACTAAAATGACATCGAATGAGACTAACACAAATCTCCGGAGTTGCTTCCTAAATATATCGTTCATCAATGACTGGAAGGTTGTGGGTGCATTTTGTAGGCCGAACGGCATGACTAGGAATTCATAGTGGCCCTCGTGAGTTCGAAATGCCTTTTTTGGATGACTCCAGTCTTCACCCTGATTTGATGATACCCTGATTTTAGATCGATTTTTGAAAAAATGGTCGACCCATGTAGCTCGTCCGACAACTCATCGATGGCTGGGATTGGAAATGTAACTGAAATGGTTACTTTGTTCACCGCCCGATAGTCCACGCAGATCCTCCAACTCCCATCTTTTTTCTTTACCAAAAGCACTGGACTTAAAAATTGTCTCGTGCTATGTTGAATGAATCCTGTACGAACTTCTCGATCTCATTTTTTTGCAAATGCGGGTATCTATATGGTCTCACGCTAACAGGGCATGCTCCTGGTTGTAAGTTGACTGCATGGTCATGTTTCCGTTGAGGCAACTGACTGCTACTTTTGAACAGTGTGGAAAATTCCTTCAGCACCTCAGCAATGATCTCGGGTGGCTCCGGTGATCCTCTTTCGGTCCCAACGGTGATTTGTCCCAATTCTAGTAATAGTCCTTCCCCTTGCTCTCTAAATGCTTTTAACATGGTTTTTAAGGAGACTGGTGTTTTACTGAGACTTGGGTCCCCTTGGAGAGTCACCGTGGTTCTCGCCGTGTTGAAAGTCATCGTCAAAGTATTCCAATCCACTTGCATCTTCCCTAATTTCTATAGCCATTGCATCCCCAATATCACATCTGAGCTTCCTAACTCCAAAGGTAAGAAGTCCTCCACCACTGACATGCTTTGTAACTTCAGGGGTATCTGTTTACATATTCCTTCCCCTATAACCGTAAGGCCCGTGCCCATAATCACCCCATACCCCGAAGTACCCAATAGAGGGAAACCTAGCTGTTGGACAATTTCAGCACTAATGAAATTATGGGATGCTCCACTGTCAATAAGGACCATGACTTCATGTTGGCCGATCCTCCCTTTCAACTTCATAGTTCCCGACGTAGTGAGTCCTACAACAGAGTTAATAGACATCTCAACAACCTAATTCGCCACCCCCACTTCCACTTCAACATCCCCAGTCGTGGCCAGATTGTCCCTGTCGCTGGCTGTGCCCTTGAATGGAGGCGCCTCCTCCATTTCCCGGATTACTAGGACTTGGAGCTCCTTATTCTTACATCGGTGGCCCATCGTGAACTTCTCATCTCAATGATAGCACAAGCTCCTTTCATGCTTCATTTGTATATCGGCATTTGTGAGTTGCTTGAAGGGAACGATTTGCTTCTAGAATGACCCAGGGCTTGCTATACGGGTTGGAGTTATATTAAGGGGGATAGTGGATTTAAAAGTTAGGTTAGGGCTTTGAGATGGGTTTTGATTAGAGAGAGCACTGGGTTTGGGTTTGGGTTTTGGTGGGCCTAGGCTCCATTGGCCCACTTTGGTAACCCAATTCCTTTCCTCCACCATCTGGGCTATTTCCATCATTTGTTCCAACCCAACCGGCCTGTGTAATTGGATCTCTAGCCTCAACTCCAGCTTCAACCCGTTCATAAAGCATCCTTCCAATACCTCCTTTGATAAGCCGTTCAGTAGTGCCGCCAGCGTTTCAAACTGCCGGCGATAATCCCTAACAGTGGTCGCTTGTTGAACTACCAAAAAATGGGCACACACCGTCCATTCTTGTGAGGCCCTAAAACGACGCAATAGCCTCCCATTCATCTCTTCCCAGTTCAAAATCGGCCGTCGCCTCTCCTCCCATTGAAATCATACTAACACCTCTCCTCCCAAAAATACAACAGCAGCATCCATCTTTTCCTCTTCAGTCAACCTATTGACCCCAAAATGCCTCTCCACCCTGAAAATCCACCCATCAAGTTCAATCCCATCCAACACCTACATATCCAACCGTCTTATACGTGATTCCCCCTCCAATTTCCCATGGTGCCATCTCCCTCATACTGAGTTCCGGTTGGCCTAGGATGGGCGAGCTCAGATTCTGCAGATGATGTCGGTTCCTTCTCTGTCGTTATTTTCTTCTCCTTGTGGTCCTTTTCCTGATTTGCCCAGTTCTGCAGTAGAATATCCACCTTTTCCATCATGCCGTTATGCATTGAATGGAACTCCAATCGTAATGCGTCTAACTGAGTTTGAAGCTCTTGATAATTAATTGCTATCCACCTTTTGCTCCAACACATTTACTCGATCTGTCAGCGTCATGTTTTAGTTGGTGCTATGATACCAAGATGATAGATCTAATTAGACAACGAAGAATGAAAAAGAAAACAAGAACTGAATTGTATTAATGGATTGAAAAATTACAATTGAAAATGGAAATCATAAGAGGCCATTCGAGAGGACCATACTCTCCCACAACTACTTTACTCACAATATTCTTTTCCTCCCCAGACTGCTTGCCATTATTCTATTTATAACCCCCCCTGGTAACTAACTTCCCGTGCTCAACAGAATTTGTTACCCTCTTCCGCCCTTTTGATCCTTCTAGAATAGGTGTATTTGATTGGGGGCCTTTCAGACTTCTACAAGAAGAAGGCGAATTATTGGTGCAAGATTTTCATCTCTTTTTCGTTTTTCTTTTAAACCCAGTGGAGTATTCCAATACCTTTTTGTATTTTCCTTCCTTTGAGATGTGTAACTAAACCATTAGTTGAGACAAACAATGTAACTAAATTTGAATCTTTAATTTCATATCTCAAGATTTGCATAGTTAATTGATTTATGAATTGATTTTACTTCTTTTCTTCGTGTTGGAATTACTTGACCATAATTCATGATTTGTGGGTTGTAGCAAGTTGAGAGGTGAGTAATAAATTTAGACCATAGGTATATCCAACAATTGAGTAAAAGATAGAGATATACTTTTATTATTGTTGCAGCATTGAGTTGAGTTTCCTATATGATAAAATATGTTTAGTTTCATATATGATTAAATAAATTTAGACCATAGGTATATGTTTAGTTGAGGTTTATTCAGATTAACAAAAAGATATAGAAAATTGACTCAAATGGGTAGGATTGTTTTGAACTCGAGAGGTAAATTAATTTTATTAGTGAATTCGACCAAGTACAACTTTAGAAATAGAACTTGAGAGGCGAGATTTAAGGTAATAACTGTCAATAAGGTTGAAGATCGACAAAGATTCCGAAGATTACGTCTACCATAAATACAAATATAAACTTGATTGTAAATTATTGTAATTAGTGGTTACCATATTTAGGTTGTACATGTTCTCTAATTATTGAAAGGATCCTCACACGAGGAAGGGCACGAAGCCTAATTTTATCATGGTATCAGTACTACTTCCAGCAACATGTTTCATCTTCTGATTTGGTTCCGCTTATTAGCTTTGTGCATGACTCTGGTTCTGTAGAGCGTTTCAAACCGGTTGTGGTTTATCAGAGACAGCGACCCCCAGACCGACAACCTCTTCTTCTTGCTCCTGATCCCAATCCCGATCTCGATCCCAATCCCAATCCCATTCCCGATTCCACTATTCTTCGGCGATCCACTCAGGTTACTCATCCTCCTGATCGGTATGGCTTCTCTGCAACTTTATCTCACTTCACAGTTCCTACTTCTTACTTGCAGGCTGCTTCTCAACCCTGTTGGGAGAAAGCTATGCAAGAGGAACTTCAAGCTCTTCAGGAGAATCACACATGGGATCTTGTTTCTTGTCCTTCTGGTGTGAGACCTATTGGGTGCAAATGGGTTTACTCTGTTAAACTTCGATCTGATGGAACGCTAGAACGATATAAAGCTCGATTGGTGGCTCTTGGGAATCGTCAAGAATATGGGGTGGATTATGAGGAGACATTTGCTCCTGTTGCTAAAATGACGACGGTTCGTACCATTGTAGCTATAGCTACTGCCAGGGGTTGGCCTTTACGACAAATGGATGTCAAGAATGCTTTCTTACATGGTGACCTTAAGGAAGATATTTATATGACACCTCCTGCGGGACTCTTTTCATCGTCATCTTCTGATGTGTGTAAACTACGGCGTTCGCTTTATGGGCTGAAGCAGGCTCCTCGTGCTTGGTTTGATAAATTTCGTTCTACTCTCTTGGGTTACTCCTTTTCTCAGAGCAAATATGACTCGTCTCTATTCATCTCGACCACAGCCGGGGGTACTGTGTTTCTTTTGGTCTATGTTGATGATATTGTTATTACTGGTACTGATTCTGGAATGATCTCTCACCTTCAAACCCAATTGAAGGATTCTTTCCATATGAAGGATCTGGGCCCCTTGCAATATTTCTTGGGTCTTGAGGTGCTTTCAAGCCCTGCTGGCACTTATCTACATCAGCACAAGTATTTGGAGGAGTTGATTACTTTGGCTGGACTTCGCGATGGTCGCTCGGTTGATACTCCTTTAGAGGTGAACGTGAAGTATCGTCAGGAGGAAGGGGATCTCCTTCTTGATCCTTCTCTATATCGTCAGTTAGTGGGTAGTTTGAATTATCTCACTATTACTCGACCAGATATCTCTTTTGCCGTCCAACGGGTCTGTCAGTTTATGCATGCTCCACGACATCTTCATCTGACTGCTGTTCGTCGTATTATACGATACTTGCTGGGTACACCTGATAGTGGTCTTTTCTTTCCTGCGAACTCTTCTCTTGAGTTGGTCGGATATAGTGATGCGGACTGGGCAGGATGTGCGGACACTCGTCGCTCAATCACAGGTTGGTGCATGTTTCTTGGAGGTGTACTTATTTCCTGGCGCAGCAAGAAACAGGATCGTGTTTCTAAATCTTCCATTGAATCTGAGTATTGTGCTATGTCTTTTGCTTGCTCTGAGATCGTTTGGCTCCGAGGCCTTTTATCGGAGCTTGGTTGTCCTCAGCTTGGCCCTACTCCTCTATATGCTGACAACACAAGTGCTATTCAGATTGCTGCTAATCATGTATTTCATGAGCGCACTAAACACATTGAAGTGGATTGTCACTCCACTCGTGAAGCTTATGATGGTCGTCTTATTTCTCTTCCACACATCTCCACTGATGTTCAGATCGCTGATGTGTTTACTAAAGCAATGGCCCGACAGCGTCATCAGTTTCTTGTCAGCAAATTGATGCTTCTTGATCGTCCAGCATCAATTTGAGGGGGGATGTCAATAAAGTTGAAGATCGACAAAGATTCCAAAGATTACGTCTACCATAAATACAAATATAAACTTGATTGTAAATTATTGTAATTAGCGGTAACCATATTTAGGTTGTACATGTTCTCTATTTATTAAAAGGATCCTCACACGAGGAAGGGCACGAAGCCTAATTTTATCAATAACTACAGTAAATTATGAGTTTCAATGCTTTAACCATCAGATTTGATCGTTTAATTGCTTTTATTTTCCTTAGTTAATATTAGTTTAATCAAAAATTTGCTTGATACATTGTTTTCATCAAAAAAGAGGTAAGGTTATTTAAATCGATATTTTGAAAATTAGTCTCCATGAAATGATAAACCGGACTCTTTAGGTCTACTTTACTACTTGCTTAATTGATATCGTACACTTACAATTATCACACAACAATGATTATTAATAAGGAATGACTTGAATAGGGTGTCAAGGGGAAGGATTATTTTATTTTTATTTTTTTTTACTACAGCATTAGAAGTGCTACATGGATCTATTTGATCAGGAGATGCCTACAAGTTCAAATGTAGTCTACAATCATCTATGCATTGTAGTACTGAGTGTCAGGTTTGGTCTTTTAAAAGATAAAATGTCTATAAGATGATGATAGTGTAAATGAGTATGCATGTATGAGTTTATTACAACAGATGAAATAAGATACAAAAATATATTCCAACAAGTAGAGGTGTCACACCAATTTTGAGGATGATTTAAAAAGAGACTTAGATTGATAAGGGAAAATCTCAAGGGAGTAGATTTAAAGAAGCTCTCGCTTAGAAGAGCGATGTGATCCCGTAAAATAGTTTAAAAGAGGGAGAGGTAAATCCAGTAAAACTAAAATGTCTTAATTTGGTCGCAAAGATTTGATTTCACTGGATGCTTCGGTAGATATAGACATGGATTGATTGGAGTCGTGAAAAATAACTCATATAGTTGACCTCAAATTAATCGAGAAGAAAGCTTAGTTTATTGCTGTTGAATCTGAGTAGTTGAAGGTTTTATATTGTTAACTAATTAGTCATGAAAATAACATTAATCCCCCGTTTGGCCCCCATTTTTGAGATTTTAATTTTTGAAATAGTGTTTTTTTGAGAATGGGTGGTTGAAAAAGAAGGAAAAGTTTTCTGTTTACGTGTAATATTATTATATTGGAAAAATGTGTGGTTGAAAAGAAGATATAGAAAAATATATTAAAATTTTAATGGGGGCCAAACGGAGCCTAACATTAACCGGTTGCTTACAGGAGGTGCTCCGAGGGCCATTTGGAAGTCAAATCTACGAACAAGCATTGCCACTGCTCCGACTGTCTGAAAATTAGAAAAGAACAGATTGGCATTTCATGTAACAAATAGATAGCTATTTTCACCCCACCCAAACACATTTTCAACAAAATCAGAAACTTTCTGTCAATATTTTGTAGATCTGTAGAGTATATCAGCAATTGGACAAAGAATTATAAAAATTCCATCTAAAATATTTACCTCGAATGTAGCAAACATGTCTCCAATACATTTTCTTGGTCCTCCACCGAAAGGAAGGTAACTGTAACAGCAAGATTAATGTAGAGTACTTTGTGAGCTTATACAGCAATGGGGAGAAAATGATTGACACAACAAAGAGCTATCAGAAGGAAAATAACATTAAGTAAACGGAAGTTGAGTCCTTATGTTTTGGCAAGTTGCAAATCTGTTCTTAGAGTAATCAGACACTATAACTGCAGGCTTATTATGATAACTGGGGTGCTCTACACTTTAGAGCAAATGGAATAGGGGAATTAACTATTATGAGCCAAATTTAAGGCTGATTATTAGCAAATTTAATGCATACATCCACGTATGGAACAAAAATTACCAAACAATATTTGATTCCAGATCAAAGATATACGTCAAGAACTAAAGCTGGAAGTGACTCTCAGCAGTTTTCCCAAAAGAAGATTTGATAATTCTTTAACTAATGTTAGAACACCAGTAAGATCGCTATAGTTTTTGGTTTATTGTCTGTAGTTGACTATGATCTCAAAGGACATATATAAATCACTGATATTAGATGTTTTAGTTATAACAGTCACTATTTATGTCTAGAACTAAATTTCTAGAAAACAAATGGGTAATTTAAGTGAATTACAAGATATATTAAATCTTCCCTCTTAACGACTTTCTTACGAAGGTGGGGTACTTTACGTAATTGGTTGTATATTAGCTCATGCCTTAAAGATATCGTGTAATAGTTTCAAGGGCAACGTTAGGAATTGAAGTTAGTATCCGTTTTTCCAGAAGTGACGAGGGGAAATATGGAATGTGATTCCACTCTAGTAACTGGAAATTTAGAATATAAGACCTGAAATTCTGGTTTGTCTCATTTGGATTAGGTCCATCAAGAGGCCATCTTTCAGGATTGAATTTGTCAGGGTCTTCCCAATGGTTAGGACTTCGATGCAGATTCCACACAGAGATAAAAATATCTTCACCCCTGCCAAAACGAAACAATAACTGTGAAGAGGTTTATTTATCTTATTAAGCATGAAAACATTACAAAGAAGCAATAAATAAGACAGCTATATCCAGCTACAACTTATCACTTGTCCATTGGATGGTTCAATTCCTTTTTAATCAGTTGCAGATGAATGTCACTTCCAAACAAGCTAATTATTCATCTTCTCAATTTAAATCTAATTAAAAAAAACAGTTACATCAGATAAGAGCCATCTCTAGAGTAAGGAGTATAAGCTAATGATATATTCCCCATTAGGCACCACTTAAGCCCTCTAATTTCTGAGTAGATCCAGTTTGAAGAGCCAATAACTTACGAAAAGTGACCATTACAGTGAATAAGAAATTTTTCTTGTCCAAGAAACGAATACAATTCTTGAATTCAAATTTCCTAATAATCGTCAGTCTGCCTAAACATTAACAGTTCATAGAATGAACACAAGATAATACCGAATTTTGCTTTCTAAGCAGGGATTTGATAATGACTTTTTGATCAACCGAACCTTTTGGAAAGCCTAAGCATTACTGATACTGCATTAAGAAGTAACCTAGAACCCTCACCATCTTCTAATTATATTTCTTCCAGCATTTCTATTGATTTTGGAAACCTGAGCAGAGGGTCCTTACCTTTATTAATCTATTTTGAACGTCAGTCAGTTAGGCAGCTCTTAAGGTTTTTATATTCGGTGGAAGGTAAATCCCTATTTTCTCCTAAACACAATGTCGTTCTTTAGGTGACGTATAAGGAAGAGACAAAGGGTGGACTGTGTCGAGTTGTACGTCAGATGAAAATAATTTATAAGTAGTCGCAGAGCGATTAGTATAAATGACCAGTAACATTTTAATTTTAGCCATATCAGGCCAGTGGAGAAACAGAAGAAAAATTTGCCGCCTGACTTCACATGGCTGCTAAAGCATGTTAAGCTTCATATGCCCAGAGGAAACCAAAAGACTCTCTCAATGTTTCTGGTAGGCCTGGCATCCTTTAATCTATTTTATGAAATTGGACAAGACGGTTGGCCAGTAATTACTGGAAATCTCGGGGTAAAGCACTGTTCTGAAGATGGATGCTCAAAATCTAAGACGAAGTCCTTTAACATTTTAGTGGAATCACAAGTTTTCATTCTTTAACAGGTGTAATACGGAGAACTTCACAAACTAATATCATTCTCACACTGAAAATAAGTATTTTATTTGTGCTCTGTTTAAACACAAATTTGTCTTGCATCCAGGTTCAAGATTGAAGTAGACATGCATAAACAAGAAGAAAAAATTTGACCATTGTCCTGACAGGTCATTATTCTACTACAGCGAGGTTATATCCAACTTAATTGGCAAACCAAAATATATATTTACAGTTTTAAGTTTTATATGATAAACAAAGACAAGGAAAAAAAAATACTCATCATCAGTATTTCTGTGTGTTTTAAGCACGGGCACAATTTTATCATACATCAAACAGTTCGACAGATATATGCATGCATAAGTTAGATGTCATGACTGTTTTTGTTTATTTTGACTTTAACCTTTTAATAGGGTAGTCTCCAAGTAAGTCATCCTCCATAGAACGGCGAATTAGAACAGGTGGCTGCGGATAGAGTCTCAAAGACTGTAAAGTGGGAAAACAATAAGTTAACCATAAAGATGTTAGAACTGCGGAATTTACACGAAAAGTTCTATTTAGATTGCAGAGTTACTTTTTCTCACTTCATTAATTACTCGAGTTGTATATTTGAGCTTCTTCATGTCTTCAATGGTTGGAAACCGATCGCCTAGAACTGAATCAACCTAAAACAGTAGTTTAACAACAAGGTATTAATTACCTTTATCACATCTAGATAAAGAATAACGTATCAATGTTATGGAAATCAAAATAGCTTCAACCCACCTCATTTTGAAGCTTGGACATGACACTAGGTTCCTGCAAGTTGATAGAACAAAACAGAAAGCAATATCCTTAGGCCAAACTTTGAAAATGTAAATATTAGATATGTACATGCCAAAAGCATCACTTACATGCACATACATTAATGAATATGCAAGTAGACAGAAACAATAGGTATATTGATGGATGGACAGATGGATGAATAAATATACGTCCATACAAAAAGATTCCACTGTGTCAGCCCTGGCTCCTGAATAAACCTCCTTTTTATGGACTATTGCCAACATAAATCATTAAAAGATAGGTCCAGCAGTTAACATTACATAGTTAATAATATTATTACAGATATTCTATGCGTTCGTTTCAAGAGAAATTTCATCAATTATATATAGGAGTTTGTAAAATCTTCGGTCCAAATTTTTCAAAAAATACCTTCACAAGAAGATAAAAGGTCCATGTCAGCACTGCAGCAGATGTTTCATGTCCAGCTATAAGCATTGTCATCAGATCATCACGGAGTTGTTTGCTTGAGACCTACAAATTTCTGCATGAGCACCTTTCCAGCAAATTCATTTCACAATAACTGATATCCAAAAGATATAATTGATTCCATACATCGTCCCCAGATGCTAACAGGAAATGGAGAATACTAGGATCTTGTTCATTCATGTATTCCTCGTGAAAATTCAGCTCTTCCTCATCTACCATTCTCTGCAAAGTAATAAGAAGAATATAAACAAATTTAACAGACCTGACAAAGCGAGCATATTGTATACAAACTGGCAAAAGAAAAATGTATGCTCCCCACCCCCCCTTTGCCCAGCAAAAATAATAAAGTTAAAAAGAAAAAAAGGGCACTATACCAAATCACTGTAGGTGAATGTCAGCTTTTAAATAGAATTACGGTTTACTCATTGAAGCTTATCTAAGGTGTATATTACTTTCTAAATTCTTCATTTTCAAGTTGTTGAATAATCATCCTGGAGGTTTGTTGTCACTTATTCTGTATTATATCATCGCGTCATTCCAACTTTTTCTTCCTAATTCCCCTTCACAATATCAACGAACAACAATTCTCACAATACAGCCCGCAAAATATAAAATCTTCACCTTGCAGATTGCAATCAGATCGTCTAGTGTATCGTTAATCAGCTTCAGGGCCGCATTCACCTTTTTTAGCTTTGGTGAAATGTCTTTCCATATAGGAATCTCCCAAAATGGGATTGGTGCAACACTCCGGTCTTCTGCTTCTCGTAACACAGTATACACAGCCTGATCTAGCCAAAAATCATAGAAAAATGCAATTTGCCAAGCATTAGAGCTTCTTGAAGAATCATTATGAACGAATGGTACTCAAGCAGTCATTAGTTTAAAAACTGGAAAAGATAAAAAGTCAAAGGCTGTACCTCTACTATTCCAGTATCAACTTTTAAAGAATCAAAATCATAATTGAATACTGCTTTCCCAATTATATCCAATGTCAAGCGCGAGAAAAGGGACTCCATCTCCACATCCTCACCATCAGATGCAGCATCGTCAAGCTTTTTACACAGCCTATCTGTTGATTCTCCAAAAAGGCTAATCATTGCCGACACAAACTACAGTACGCAATTTTATAGAGATGTCAGTAACAGAAGAAGAAGGATGTTGATTGGCTGGTCAAGCATTTTAAGTTTAGCTTTCTCTCTCATAGACAAAGATTGTAGTCCAAGTCAGAAAACTGAAAATGAAATCAGAAACATGAATGAAATCTTGCAACAGTCGAAATACTACCTTTTGATGCAATGCTGGCACTACAGCCCGTCGCCTACGCCGCCAAATTTCTCCATCAGCAGGGATAAGCCCCTTCCCCATAACAAAATCCAAAATTTCAGCTAAAATACCCTGTCACAGTTTAAAGCAATTAACTCTACTATTACAATTGTGCAGATGAAATCAACTGACATTGTTCTTGATCATGAAACCTAGTCGATAATAGGAAGAAAGCAGGAAAAATATTCTTGGCCCATTTGGTTTACCTTTGAAAAAGCTTTTGGATTGTCCTTCAATATATGTTTTGCGATTGAAGGATCTGAAACAATTAAAAAGGACTGCAGGACAGCCACAAGAATGATTAGTCAAACGTGAACATCATAAAGAAAGGGGAAACAAAGTAAAAGAAAACGAACCTTAGGACCAAATGTTAACCTAAATATTCCACCATAAGTTAGGTAAAGCTCATACAGGGCTAGGAAGAAAGCTTCATTCTGAAGGGCACTAATTGATCCTTTTGCCTCTGGAATTCTCGGATAATCCTCAAGGCTGCCCGTCCATTTGAGCAAGGATTCAACAACGACTTTAGGAATGCCCAATTTTAACAGGTTATTTCTCAGTTGCAATGGAAAGCTATCAGCCACAACAAAGATGCCAGTAACCACGAAGAAAATGATTCAGCATATAAAAATATTTTAACATTCATTATTAAATTGACAAATTATTTATTTAGATCATAACATAAATATTGACTACATAGAGGACAATTGTAGAGATCCTTTTCACTATCAGTAACAAAGACAGTCACCCATAAATCTCATCAATGCCGATTTTATTAATTTCTAATAACTAAAACTTGAAAAAAACACAATGATAGTTTCCATGACCAGTTATAAAAGTATTTTTATAATTACATGGTTTAAACTACAAATAGATAAAAATGAGTAGTGTATAAGTGGATACTACTTATGGAATCCTCGAAATGTGTGAATAAAGAGTGACTTGAGTGTTTATAAGCAGTTTACAAACATGATCCAAACAGAGACTGAGAGGGAAAGTAAATTAACTTTATGACAATGAAATATTTTACATTAATTAACTAAATACACAAAAATAATATTACATAACGACTCGGAAATTACTAAACAACATTTAGAGAGGTGATAATTCTTTATGCAAGTTATTATATGTATCAACTAATGGAGAACCAATAATTGACTAAAAGCATGTCTGGGAAGTATTTATAAATGATTTGAATTATAAATAAATTGAAATGAGTACTAAATAAGTGGGTACTACTTGTGGATTCCTCTAAATATTTGGATAAAAGTATCTTGATTGTTTATAAACATATGCCAAACATAGGCTAAGAGTGAATGATATATACATGTAGAATGGAGAACTATAATAACCTAAGACCTTTTAGTATTCGGAGCCAGTCCTGGTCTTCCTAACATGGACCAAATAACACTATGCTACTTACACTATCTTCAGAACAAAAATTCCCTACGTACCTCAACGGAAATTATAATACTCTCATTTGGTAAAAATTTCTATCACTCAGTTTATTATTTTCATTGTAGAGGTCCAGTTTCACAACTTTCAATCAATAGTAGCATAAAAAGTTGTACCTTCCCCTTATACCAAAGCCCAAAAGACAAATCGAAGTCAAGTACACTGTATAAACTATTTCTTCTTCTATTTTTATAGAATGCAACCAATAAACCACAAGGTACAATACTACAACGTCGTACTCTATGCTTTTCAATAATTGTACCTTCCTCTGTTCCTCTCTATACCAGTTATCCCTATATTATCTCAGTTCAACAGAATTGCGACAAAGCTACATACGATAAGGTGCCATTTCGAACGTGGATATGCAGAATGTACCTCAATTTTTTGACAGTGAATTTACCAGAGGCAATACCGGCCGACAGGTCGACCCGGCGTTTCTCTTCCAAAAGCTTCTCCACACTCTTTACGCCGTCGTCCAGACCACCTGGCCCTCTCCCATTACTCGAACTCAAGCAACTTACCACACAATGCCCTGCACATACACAAACCAAACAACAAATAAAGCACACACATACACTATGTACACACTTTTTTCATCTATATAAGTTATACCATTTGTTTTTGAACGAATTACGGGTTTAAATTGTTTGCTTTGGAATTTAGTTTGAAGGATCTGGTCTGGAAAATGAAGGTAATGAAGATTGGCAGCCATTGATTTCTTGAGAGAGAGAGAGAGGGGGAGAGAGAGACAGAGGTGATGATAACGTGAAAAGTGCAAATGCTAGAAGTTCTACACGTACACGTAGAGAAATGCACACCATTCTTTTTTTCATTCTCATTCTTCTACTAATTTTTAACCACACATTCATCAATAAAATAATATTTTTTATCACATCAATAATTTTTCCTTCATTTTTTACCACAAAAAAGGTGTGATTTGACACAAAAAATACATTTTTTTTTAGAATAATGGTTATCAAACGGTGTTTAAAGGAACAATAGGGACAACAGACATGCAAAGGGGGGCCAGGGGGGGGTTGGTTTTCTTTAAATATAAAATTGACATGGGGCCCACCACATGTGTCTTTTCTGGTTTTCTTCCGTTTAAGTATTTTGTACCGGCAGAATTTTTGGCTAATTAAATGCAACTAGTGAGAGAGAATATTTAGTGCCGGAGAAAGGAGTGTTGCACAATGTGCAATGACTTTTGTACCTTGATCTGTTAGAGACTGAAATTGATCTGGCATTAGTTGTATCCGATGCCTAACTGCTAACGAACAAGAGGAGGAATCTTTCGCGGGCAAGACTTTATTTTTTTTAAAAATATAGAAAGATGCTCTAATCTCATGCCATTTGAATTTTAAAAAAAAAAAAAAGAAACAATATTTATTTATATTTCGTCACTTTCGAAAGTAGAGTAAATGGCCGGCAATAAACAAATGATACATTAGAAAATATATANGTAATATTATTTTATTGATGAATGTGTGGCTGATATTGAGTAGTGATTTACTGTAGATAATGAGTAGTTTTTCCAATCAGGCTCTTAATATGGGGTGCGTTTCTTATTTCCCTATAATCAGACTCATAGAAAGAGAATACACTGTGTGGTATAAGATTTTCATCTTGGAGCAATCTGTGTCAAACATTTCACATGAAGAGGAGACCACAAGACTTTAGGATAGCATTTTTCACGACTTTCTTAGGTCATTTTTTCTAAATCTCTTCTTATATTTTATGTTATTTAATTTATTATTGTTAAGAATTACGTACCGAATCCATACCACTTGTTAAAAAACAAAGGAACGAGAATAATATGGTAATATGAAAATAACAATCACAAAAACACAAGATTTACGCGATAAAATTATGCCCGGGTAAAAAAAGAGATTTTATTAATATCAATAATGGAGAATTACAAATTATTGTATAGAATGTAAGGATTGATTTTTCTAGAGATTTACTCCTCATATATATAGTGCAAGAAGAGCTTAGAATGTGGTGGAATTCGACTATAATTAAGTTTATACAATAATGGAGTGTGTGTGATAAAATAGGATTAAAAACTCTGCCAAAAATGAGAACTGTTCAATAATTTGAATAAGACCGTCGCTCAATCTGTTGCCTCGCGGAAAGCGAGCGTTAATGCTCATATTCTAAGTGCTCGAGCGAGAGTTGGGCACAAAGCGACTGCCTACTCGTTGTTTCCTACTTCTTACACAATTTCTTCCTCTCCTATTGCAACTTGGACTCCATCATGTCTTCTTTAAATCTAAAACAAATTCCAAACTCCTCCCAAATTGAATTCCAACTAGAATTCACAAATAGACTTCAATTAGAATTCTCAAGTCGACTTTAAATAGAATTTTCAAATAGTTTTCCAAATAAAATTTGCGTCACATCCTAATTCTAACAATTATGTTAATTGATAATCTATCTACAAACAAATCACTTTTTTTCCCCCAATATTCTGAAATCGTGTGACGTAATTTGTGTGTAGATGGTAGTTTTATGATCTCGAGCTATTAAATTTGGAAAATTTTAAAACTGACCTTAAATGGTTTAATCAACGGCATAGTTTTATTTACATGTAAAATATAGGATCTCTACTGTCTTGCCTTCTATCGAAGAAGTTTGGCAGCTTGAGATTGACAACAAAACTCTAACTCTTCTAATGTTAATGTTTCTCTTGGACCATAATGTTTGTCACATTCTATATAAGGTTATGTCATGGTCTCTTGGTCCATAACTATGAGCATTGTCCGGCTGTTCATGGAGGGAAAATGATACAATCACGCTACATTTACAGAGTTTTCTTTACAGGAAGAGATTGTACACACAGTTATTTAAAAGGGTGATGATACACGTACATAATGTGGTATTCATAACAATATTCGTCCCATGAGAGATCCACTTCGAATAAAATATAATATATTCGAAGTGGGTCCCCCTCCATGTGAGGAGGTAGACACCGTTACGTACAAGTAGCATATTCCTATTTAAAAAGGGTTGTGCTCCTTGCACAAGGTGACAGATTGTGCTACATGTGGCCCTGTGCAAGCATGTTTATTGTATTTTTGGAGGGAAAAAAATGGAGGGAATGAAAATGAGGTAAAAATGTTTATAAATTCTTTAAATTTCTTATGCTTTTATCTTAAATTCATGATCATTATGGGATGTCAAAAAAAGTCAAAATATTGTATTCTTAATATCATTTTGAAATGCTCAAGTATGATTTTTTACGTTGTTAACTACAAACGAAACGGCCAATCATAACAAATATTACGATGCATCAAAGTAAGTGATTCCAAACTAATATTTAGATAACATGCTAATTTTAAAAAAATTTCAACGATTGTATGTTAGTTGAATTCATAAATATGTCATCTTGAAACTCGTTTCTAGAACTACATCATATAAGTGTCAAATAGTCTAAATGAACATCAAAAAAAAGTTCAATATGCGTCAAACGTGAGTGTTAAAAAGAGTAGTATAACTCATCTTTTCTTTATTTTTTTTTCAATTGTTCCATTAATGTTTATTACTTTTACATAACAAATTTCTCAATATAATTTACGTCATTTTTATTGAAAAATTTTACATTGGTTATAACGTCAAAGAAAAAAAATTCAGATGTAAAATAAAGTTTTTATTACTTTATATGGGGCATGAATTGTTATACTGTTTTTTCCTCTCGATTATTTTTACGTTTGAAAAATTCCGAAAAAAAAAATTCGATCATTTTTAGGATTTTTTTTTTTTTTTTTTT